ATGGAAGCACTAACTCAAAAGAGGGAACAAGTCCTAACAGCAAGAATCATTCCCACACCCTCCACACACAGAGTAGACAGGGATATGCAACTTGGACATTGGGGGGTGGGAGGCTACAAAGGCAAGAAGTGACTGGCTTACAAGCTTTCAAGAGGGAACCTAGATCCAGAGGGCCTGGAGGAAGGTAGAATCTCCAGTGAGTAGTATTCAATCTGACTAGCCGGGGCTGATGCAATGAAATACAGATGGGTCTCTTGTGATACAATAGTGAATAATTGTTATCAGGACTGATTGTAATGGTCGGAAATGTAAAGGTAGACGTTTCATAGCAAGGAGGGGAGTGATTAACTTTTCAGTCTAGGAGCGGAGGTCCCTAGGATCATCAAGGGAGAAGAGCAGAGAGCGGGACCCTAATCAGAGAAGCAGTGATACCTGAAATGGAGCCAGAGATGATTACGTGGAGCAATGGAGCAGCTGGAGACTTTAGATCCAGAGAGGCAGAGCGACTGTGTGCTGAAGACCTGAGGGGTATGGGGGAAGGATTGCATGGAGGGGATTGTAACCGTGGCAATGAGAAGATATACAACAGAATGTATGTAAAACCAATGTTCTCCCATGTAAACTATCACATAATTCACAATAAAACATTAAAAAAAAAAGGCTATTATTTCAAAAGAATGCTAAGAAAACAGATACTAACAAAACCAAAGCTGTTGGAAATTAAAAAAAAACAACAAATACCCTGATTAACAGGCAGAGAAAAAAATCAATAGACTAGAAGATAAAGTTGAAAGTGGGAAAAAATAATGATGGAAAATAGGACAGAAATGATCAAACAGATTGGCTTGTCAGTGGATGAGGTCTGAACAGGAGTTCTAGAAAGAGAAAGCAGAAAAAATGGAGGAAAGGCAATTATTAATGAAATACATTTCCTAGAACTGAAAGACGTACTTTTGATTTAAAGGGTTTCAGAGGCCTGTGCACACACTGTGAGAACATGATAGCCAAGGCACATAATCATGACAAAATAAAGTTTAACAATATAGCTAAATGGCTGCTAGAAGACCACAGGGCGCTGCTTTTGAAATTCTGAAAGAAATATCATTAACTATAGCTCTGGTATGTCTGAAGTATGTAAGACAAAGTCTGGCCATCCTGGCTTCCAAGGAGCACTCTGGCTGTACTTCCTCCAATACAGATCTAGTTGTTCTTCTGGCAGTCCCTGGTACTTCCAATATTGTCCTCCAACACTGTAACTCAAGTGCATCAATTCTATGGTTTTCCTTACTATCCTCATATGCATGCATATTGTTTGGTCATGTGGAAGGTCAGATAAAAAGAGGAAGACCCCCAACAAGATGGATTGGCACAGTGGCAGCATCACCAGGTTCAAACAGCAAAGATTGTGAGGTTGGCCCAGGGCCTGGCAGTGTTTCACTCTGTTGTGCATAGGGTTGCTATGAGTCGGTATCGACTCGATGACATTTAACAATAGCTCTGGTAGTATAGTGGTTACAAGTCGGGCTGCTAAACTCAGGGTTAGCAGTTCAAAATTACTGGCCGTACCATGGGAGAAAAATGAGGCTTTCTGCTGCCATAAAGATTTAGTCTCAGAAACCCTTTGTAGGGTCACTGTAAGTCTGAACCGACTCCAAGGCACGCCACTGTGGGCCATTAAACTTTCAGTGGTAGTAAAGTAGACTATAAAAGCAGTTTTATAATGTCAAAAATTTTACCTCCTACTTAAGTTCATTGGGAATGTACTAAAGAATGCATGCCACCAAAAAAATTGGAAATTTATAGGCACGAAAAGCCAAAAGGAATCACAATGGTGATATGCCAGGGCAACCAGTTCAGATATGAACAAGGGTCAGGGTTGTTTAACTCTAATGACTTTTAAGATTTACAGCCTCAGAAACCCTGTACAGGGTCGCTATGAGTCGGAACCGACTCCACGGCACATAACAACAACAAAAGGGAAAAGGTGTGCGGTAGAGTTGTATCCTTTCACCTCACTTGATCATCCATATGTTGAACACAATCCAAGAAACTTGGCTATATAGAGAATGTAACATCTGAATTAGAGGAAGACTCATTAACAAATCTGCAATACGCAAAAATACAACTTTACTTGTTAATAATGAAGATGGCTTGAATCAGTTGATAAAACACTATAGCCTTTAGTATGGATTACACATGAACGTAACTAAAATGCAAATCTTCACAACTGGACCAACAAACATCACAATAAATGGGGAAAATATCTAAATTATTTTCATTCTACTTTGATCCATAATCAACATACATGGATGTAGTATACAAGAAATTAATGACACAATACATTGGACAAATATGTGAGACAGTGAGTATGTGCTTGGGATCACATAAGTGTGTGTGTGTCAATATTCCAAGTACAAGATCCATTCTGTGTACTGTAGCGCAGCCTCATAGTAATTAGTGTTTGGGATGGCTACTGAACCATGGAAAAGTAAAGATGACAAAGCACTATCATTATCATCTTTTTATTTTCAAGGAAGATTATTTAAAAATACATTACTAATCAAATTATAGATCTATTCCAAGATTTCTTTACATCATAATTTCCTGAAGTGTTCCCCTCAGAAGGTTGTTGTTAAGTGCCGTTGAGTTAGTTTCAACTCATAGCAACCCTGTATAGGGTTTCCAAGGTGCAGTTTGTGAGTTTGAACCACTGACCCTGGTTAAGCCGACCTTGCAGTCCAGCAGCGCTTTAACCCCTAGCGCCACACCGGGACTCCTCACAAGGTACAAAACCACAAACTTCTTCCCTATGGAAGAGTATAAATAGAATGTAATATTGCATTACAATACAATGCTTTATTGTACAGTAGAGAATACAAATTGTGAAAACAATTTATGAATCTACAGAACAAAATTACTTCTGGTGCCATCTGGCTTGTACCTACCATCAGCAAGACAGTGTATTTCCCTTAACCTCACTGTAAACTTAAGAGAATGAAGCAGAAACATTCATAGTATGTAAAACTACCAGGAAGCTATAAACTCATTTTATAAAGATGTCAAGAGTATCACAGAAAAGGAGTATATGCTCATTTCAAGATTTTTTTTTTTTAAAAAAAGATCATGTAGAAAAGTTAAATTCTTAAGGTACTGTGCCGTGGAATTGGTTCAGACTAATAGCCACTCTAAATCGCGTTTCCAAGGCTGCAAATTTTTACAGGAGCATAAAGCTTCATCTTTCTCCCATGAAACCAGATTGTTTCAAATTGCTGACCTTGAGGCTAGCAGCCGGACTCGTAGTGGTTACCACTACGCTACCAGAGTTCCTTAAATTCTAATTAGAGTATATTTTCAAAGTAGGCAAAAAATGGCTTATACGTTTTTAAAAAAGGAAACAGAATTTAAGTATAAAATGCTTAGATTTACATGTGACTTAGTACTTACATTCATATTAACCAGATTCCTTTAATAAACCTCTACTATATATCTGACTCCTAACGTGGGTGCTGTAGGATAAACACTGGGCTGCTAACCACAAGGTCAGCAGTTCAAACCTATCAGCTGCTCCTTGAAAGCCCTATACAGGGTCACTATGAGTTGGAACCAACTCTACGGCACTTTAACAACAACGTTATCTGTTTGGAGTTCTGGTGTGGTGCTATAGGGTAAGCACTGGACTGCTAGTCACAAAGTTGGTGGTTTAAAACCCATTAACTACTACTTCTTGGAAACCCTATACAATGTCAGTATGCATCCAAACTGGCTCGATGGCACTTGACAACATATATCTAAGTATATCCCTGAAGGAGGGAATTATGCTTGGTAAGAGAAAAAGAGGAAAGGCCCCAACCAGATGGATTGACACAGTGTCAGCAGCAGTGGGCTTAAATGTAACAACTGTGAGGATGGCACAGGATTGGGTAGTGTTTCGTTCTGTTGTGCAGAGGGTTGCTATGGATGGGAACTGACTCAATGGTACTTAACAATAAAACAATGTACATATCTAATTAACAATAAAACAATGTACATATCTTAAGTATTTTAAAATGAACATGAAGAAAGTCAAAGTCCTCACTACTGGATCCATAAACATGATGATGAATAGTGAAGACATTGAAGCCGTCAAGGGTTTTATTCTACTTGGATCAATAATTAACATCCATGGATGCTGCAGTCAAGAAATCAATGTTTGCACTGGGCAAATATGCACGAAAAGAACTCTTTAAAATCTTATAAGGTAAAGATGTCACTTTGATGATTAAGGTTCATCTGACCCAAGTCATGGTATTTTCAATCATCTCATATGCAAACGTTGCACAATGAAAAAGGAAGTCCAAAGAAGAACCGATACATGTGAATTTCGGTTCTAATAAAGACCATTGAACATACCAAGGACTGCCAAAAGAACAAGTCTTGGAGGAAGTATAGTCCAAATGTTCCTTAGAGGCAAGGATGGTGAGACTTGGGACATCAGAAGGAGCCAATCCCTGGAGAAGGACATCTGCTTACTAAAGTGAGGGTCAATGAAAAAGGGAGAGACCCTCAATGAGACAGACTGACACAGTAGCTCGAGCAACAGGCTTAGGCTTTTGAGGCTGGCACATATGGTCACTATGAGTAAGAGTCAACTCAATGGTCCCTAACAACTTTTAAGCCAGAACATAAAATCTATGTTTGTACACCCACGTGCAAGCTATCTTGCTTAGTATCTGCTAAAAATGAATAAAAGTTTAAAATCATAAACTAACAAAAAATATTTTTCATGTTTTCTGGACTAGTGCACAAGTTAACCAGATTTTCAGATATAAAAACCAACCAATTGTTGGTTGTCAAAAATTAAAGTAATAGGGTTGTGAGGACCCTTCTAATAATGGCTATGAAATAATTTTATAAAAGAAAAATTATCAAATTGGGCTACAGTTTACGGGATGTCTTAATTTTTCTTACTTTGCACCCTGTAATTTGATTTAAAAATGATTAACTATGCCCTTTTGGGTACTTTAAATTGACACATTGACTGGGCAGTCTATATTTTGTAAGATAGCAGGTAAGTCTAACACAGAAGAAATTATATAATGGGGAATAGGAGATGACTTCTGAGGAACTATTCTGTTTTTATTTATCCAGACTGTTGCTTTTAATCCTGCATTGAGGCCTCCTTGTATATCGGTTTCCAGTGTGTCACCAACCATCACACAGTCTCCTGGTTGCAATTCAAGGAGCTCACAGCAGTAGTAAAATATGGACGGTGATGGCTTCTCCTCTTTCTGCTCTCCACCTACAACAATAGCATCAAAATAGGACTGACAGGCACAAGCCTCAATCTTCTCCCTCTGAGTCTGTCTGTCTCCATTCGTTAATAGCAATAGGCGGACCTCCTTTCGAAGTTCAGTGAGCATGGCTTTTACATCTTCTGCCAGCGTCATGTGCTGTAAACGTGTAGATTTCCATAGAAAATAACATTCTTCGGCTAATTTTCTATTGGCCACACCACCCTTTGTTTCCTGGATAGCTTCTTCCCAATGTGAAGTCCTTAGATCAGTAACACATGTATTGGAAGGATAAAAATATTCCTTGCTGAGTTTAACTTGAACTTTATCACAGATGATTTTAGCTTCTTCTTTGTAATGGTATTTTGATTGTAAGAGCTTTACCACCTAAATAAAGGAAAATAACTCCATTAGTACATTTCACATTTTTAATGGACATGTCCTGAGAAGCTGTGACCCTAGTGCATAAAGCAGTTAAAAGATTCTAATTCCACTTCTTGGCCTTAAAGTAACTCTATTGCTATACCATTTCTGGTAGAAACTGACCTTATTTTTAGAGAACACCAAAATGAAGATCCCGTAACCTCTCTAGATAACTCATTATTATTTCTTTGTTTTACCATTTCTAGTCTAAGAATATCCTTCATACACATCTAATAAAAAGCCTTTATTCAGCAGTTTAAATCTACTATCTCTCACTCTTGTCAAGACATGAAAATAAAACACATTTTATAAAACATGTAAAATTATAGACAACTTTATTTATTCTCTTCCCAGAAATAAGAACGCTAATTTGTCTAAACTTTTCTCAACTATGCAAAAGTGGAAATGTACTGGTAAATGTTTTGATGTGTATATTTTAATAATAATAAAAAGAATACATGCTCACATGATAGGACCGCCTACATGCAGACTCCTAGCATCAGCAGTCCTGTTATTTTGTAGCTCAAGTCTTTGCTCAAATACCATTTTAATTAGGCCTAACCTGGCCAACGTATTTAAAACTGCAATTCATTGCGCATTACACAGTTTTTTATAAATATGGCTGTAATGACAGCAATTAACAACAACAATCTTAAAAGCGCAGTAGGTAGTTACACAAGAAAACAGGACTGAAGAGGGTGAAAAGAAACAACTTTCCCATATGATTTAAAAAAAACCCAACAAAACAAACACTAAACGTGATCTATATAGTTAGACTATAATCTCATCTCTCCGAGCAAAGGCAGTGGTTAAACCTTTCTCTTCTTTCATTCTCCTTTCAGAATGATATAAGAAAGGTACAATGTTATTTCTAACTAGGTCACATTCATAAGTGGTGTTTTCTTACCTGATAAAGGGTTCCTTGTATAGTAAAGTGTAAACACACAATCCTGTTTCATAAGATACTTATATTTGAAAAGAAGAGCAGTAGTACAATCAATTTATACTAAAAGTTTGGTGCAGGCAGTTAATTATTTATTATGGCCATTCTACAAATTTCTACATTTTACTTGTGCTTTATTCACTACTCAAAGGCCTTTGATTATGTGGATCATGACAAGCTATGGACAACATTGCGAGGTATAAGTATTCCGGAACACTTAATTGTGCTCATGAGGAACCTGTACAGAGACCAAGAGGCAGTTGTTCAAACAGAACATGGGAACAATGAATTAAACGGTTTAAAATCAGAAAAGGTGTGCGACAAGGTTGTATTTTTTCACCATACTTATTCAACTTGTATCCTGAGCAAATAATCTGAGAAGTTGGGTTATACGAAGAAAAATGTGGTATCAAGATTGGAGGAAGACTCATTAACAACCTGCAATATACAGATGATACAACCTTGCTTGCTGAAAGTGAAGAGGACTTAAAACATTTACTGATGAAGATCAAAGAGCAGAGCTTTCAGTATGGATTGCATCTCACTGTAAAGAAAACAAAAATCCTCACCAATGGATCAATTTACAACATTTTTAATCAACAGAGAAAAAATTGAAGTTGTCAAGGACTTCATTCTTCTTGGATCAACACTCATGGAAGCAGCAGCCAAGAAATCAAACGACATATTGCATTAAGCAAATGTACTGCACAAGACCTTTTTAAAGTGTTGAAGAGCAAAGATGTCAGCTTGAGGACTAAGGTATGCCTGACCCAAGCCAAGGTATTTTCAATAAGCTCATTTGCATGCGAAAGTTGGACAGTGAATAAGGAAGACTGTAGAAGAATTGATGCATTTGAGTTACGGGTGTTGGAGGAAATATTGAAAGTACCATGGGCTGCCAAAAGAACCAACAGATCTGTGTTGGAAGAAGTGCAGCCAGAGTACTCCTTGGACACTAGGATGGCCAAACGTCGTCTCTCATACTCAGGGCATATTGTCAGGAGGGACCAGTCGCTGGAGAGGGAAATCAAGTTTAGTAAGGTGGAGGGTCAGAGAAAAAGAGGAAGACCCCCAGTGAGATGGACTGGCAAAGTGGCAGCATCTATGCACTCAAGCGTGGCAACAATTGTGAGGGGAGGCCAGGACCGGGCAGTGTTTCATTCTGTTGTGTATAAGGTCACTATGAGTTGGTACTGACTTGATGGCACCTATCAACAACAGAACTTCTGGTATGGCACTATAGGACATGCTGCAAACAAGGTCAGTGGTTCAGTTACCAGCTGCTCCTTGGAAACCCTGTACAGGGTCGCTCTGTGTCAGAACTGACTCAAAGGCACTTAACAACAGCAACAACAAGGAGTAAAGGTTACAGTGCATCTAAGTATTAAGAATGCCCATTGATCACAATAAAAATGAACAACAACAACCACACAAGAATGTGGGGGGGGGAAGGTAGAGTCCCCTCTAAATAGTTTTCATCTTGTCTAGATGGGTTTGGCGAAAAGAGATGGGGATAAGACCATGACTAATTGCGACTGTCACAACTGTAAAGGTAGAAGTTTTGTAACAAAAACGAGGGAGTAATTAATCGTATCTCATATAGAAACAGAGGACCCTAGGGCCATCAAGAGGGAAGAGCACAAGCAGAATGTGGGACCCAATCTAGAGAAGCAGGGACGGCAGAGATGAGGCCATGGAGAGAGAGAGCAGCCGAGGACTCTAGACTCATGGAATAAGAAAGACTAAGTGCTGGTGGCCAGGAAGCAGGCTTACAGAATGTGCCCTTTGGTGGTTTAAATTGTTATATATTCCTGAGTATTTTGGTACACATCCCCCTGCCCCAAAAACAAAACAAAACAAAAACAGAAGGAACAGAAGCAAATAGTGTTGAATGATGATGCACGGAGGAGACTGTAATCATTGCAGTGAAATGATTACTGTAAAACCGATGTTCTCCATGTAAACTATCACTCAGTTCACAATAAAAACTTAAAAAAAAAAAAAAAAGAATGCCCCAGAGGGTGTGACTCAAGTCACCACCCGTAGTTTCCCTTGGGATCATGGTCTGACTCCAATTTGTAAGACTGTTTTGGAAAATCTTGCTCTGGATCTTGCATTTGACTCTTAACATCTAATCTCTAGTTTGTGGAACTTTTGGTCTATCACCTGACCTGATTCACCAACTCCTGCAACTTCGTGCATCACCGCCTGTTGTCTAATCTACTAATCTGGGTTCCTCAGCTCCTGAGGCTATGTAGGTGATAAGATTCCTCCAGAGTGATCTCTGAACTACAGACTTGGAACTTGCCAGCCTCCAAATTTCCGAGCCATTTCTTTTGACAACTGTGAATTTTGTGAGATGTTGTAGCATTCTGCAAAATCCCGGGACTTGAGGGAAAGGAGGAGTCAAGGAATATGGAGGGCATAATGTGCTGGAAACAGTCCTGGTGTGGCGCTGTTGGTTAGTGCGCTGGGCGGCAAAGTCCACTTTAACCTAGAGGCCTGGCAGTTCAAGTTCACCAGCTACTCCTCGGAAACCCTATGAGGTCGCTATGGGTTGGAACCAGACTCTACAGCACTTAACAACAACGTATTGGAGAGACCGAACAATTGGGATACCTTTAACCTCCAACTCACTGGGATCAGCCTTGTGCTTATTCTTATAAAAGAAATTATTCATACCTTTGGAAACCAGAATTTCTATCCATTCAGCATTCATTCCTGAGCCCTGGTGTGGTGCTGTGAATTAATGCGCTGGACTGCAAAGTCAGTCTGAGCTGCAAGGTAAGCGGTTCAAGCTCACCAGCCGCTCATCGGAAGCCTTATACCTGCAGAGGGTATAGGTCGCTATGGTTTGGAACTGACTCGACGGCACTTAACAGCAACAACAAAGCTTTCATTCTACATGATGTGTGTAAAACTTAAAGTTTGTGCCTTCAAGAAGCTTACCATATAATTGCAGTCATGTGAGTTACAAAATTAATTGTAATACTATCTGACAGTGAGGTTGTAAAGACCTAGGAAAAATACAATCTGATCTGTATGTTTTAGAAACATTACTATGACAGGAATATGGAAGATGAATTGGAAGTGGCAAGCCTAGAGATAAGAAAACCATGGCAAAATACCAGATATAAAGCCAGTTTTTACTAATAGAAGGATGCTGGACATGCAAGAAATACGACTAATGTGTTAAAAAGCAGAATGGATAGGGTGCCAGAGTGTAGGGTAGTCCAACTCGTTGAGTGACAATGGAGTCTATGTTTCCAATGCATTCTATGAAACCTACCCGCTAGGATCACAGAAGCCCTGAGTAGTATTTAACAGTGGTTAAAGCATTTGGTTGCTAAACTAAAGGTTGGTGGTTCAAACTCACCAACTGCTCCTCCAAAGAAAGATGTAGCAGCCAGCTCCTATAAAGATCTTTAAGCTTGGAAATCCTATGGGGCAGTTCTACTCTGACTTAGAGGGTTGTTGAGGCAGAATGGACTTGATGGTAGTGGATAAGTGGGTAAGGGTCCTTGAAGAGTAATATTAATTCAAGTTTTGTAAGCAGGATTTAAGGTAGAGTGGTTAAGTCACTTGCTCAGGTGTTTTCAGCTAGGAGAACTGTGGTTTAAACTCAAACCAAGTGAATCTTAAAACGTGAAACTTTTGGCCTACATCATAAAGATAACAAAAATTTAACTACAACACACCGGACTTGAGTGGCTCAGAATACACAGGTAAAAATGTTCTGTAGACAATGTAGCATAAGGCAGGCAGTGTTACTGAGGCCAAAACAAAACAAATGAAAATAAAACAAAAAACCCACTGCTGTCAAGCTGATTCCGACTCAGAGACCCTACTTAGGACAAAGCAGAGGTTTCCGAGACTGTAAATATTTACTGGAGCAGACAGACTCATCTTTCTCCTGTGCAACAGCTAACCTTAAGGTTCGCAGCCCGATTCATAACCACTATGCTGGGAAACCCTAAACAGGGTCCTTATGAGTCAGCTGACTAGATGGCAGTGAGTTTGGTTGTGTTGGATCTGCTCCCATAAAGATATAGTCTTGAGAGCCCCATAGAGAGTTACTGTAAGTCAGAAGTGACTTGACAAACAGTGGATTTTTTACTTTTAATGACCTGGCAAGCTCATTTCACTTGAGTGCCAAAAACAGAATCTAGATTGCAATAAGTTTAGGAATAAATGTGAGGCTGTGGGTCACATTTCAAACTCACCAACTGCTGCTCAGAAACCCTATATGGCAACTGCTGCTCAGAAACCCTATATGGATCAGAACATACTTGACGGCACTTAACAACAACAACACATGGCTGTAAAAAGAGACAAACAACATCTTGTCGAGGAAGAAAGGTACTAAAGGAGGCTTTTTTATGTTTCTAGACACTCCTGAAGATGCAATCTGAGGGGAATGTACCAAGACCGTTGGGGCATTTGGAGTTCTTAGAATTAGCTTTTGAAAGTGTTTTCCTTGATGGTGAGGTTGGAGGGGAAAAAGCAGGGGTGGGCCAAGGGATTGAGGAGCTCTGAGTAGCACACACTTTTGCTTTAAGTGTCCTCTCTGAGCTCTACTAAGGGTTGCACACACACACAGTAGGGCGGCCTCTTGGGATATTTCCGTGGAGAAAATCCTCTGGAGTTGATTCTGAAACCGGCTGTATGTCAGGCATGACAACTCAGTTGCGCTGAACAACACAAGGTGAAGAGACAACCCTATAGAGAGGTCAATCACGGAGAGTCTGATGCGGGTACTCATCCTGACCTGTCATGGCTAAAAGTCAGCTGGTGATGTTTTGGGATGTGATGTTCTACTTTGTGGGCAACTCATGGTAATTTTTTTTTTTTTTTTTTAAGGTTTTTATTGTGGATTGAGTGAAAGTTTACAGGGCAAATCATCAGTTTCACAATCAACAATTCATATAACTTGTTTCATTACATTGATTATAATCCCCTCCATATACCATGAGTTAAAAGTATTTCTCTCTATCCACTTTAGCTTTTTAAAAAAAACACACAAACAAAAAAACCCACTCAGGCTTATATAATAAATTACATCTCCAAAGGGCACATTCTGCAAGTCTGCTCCTGGCCACCAGTTCTTAGTCCTTCTCTTCTTAGTTGATGAATCTAGAGTCCTCAGCCGCTCCCCCTCTCCATGCCCCCATCTCTGGCGCTGCTGCTTCTCTGAATAATCATGGTAATTTTGAAGGAATAATAATAAAATGGAATACTATATAGGATAAGCATTGGACTGCTTACCACAAAGGCGGCGGTTCAAACCCACTAGCGCCTCCTCGGAAGCCCTCTACAGGATCTCTAAGAGTTGGAACCGACTCGACGGCACTTAACAACAACATGATAATTTTATGACCCCAAGGCGTTAGAATAAACTTTTAGAATCCAGCTCTCCAGAGGAGGGCAGTAGCCCTACACTGGTAATCCATTAAATTGCTCACTGCCCAGCGCCCTACTCCTCCGGCTCTGGGGCTGGCGCAGTAGGCGCCCAGAGTCTCCGGACGCCGCAAAGAGATCAGCGTTTCTGGAAGCGATCTAGCAACCAGACTAGCGTAAAGTAAGCGGGAATCGTCCTACCCCTGTGCCAGAAGCTGGCGGAGGGAGACAAAAGGCAAGGGAAGTGCGCAGAAAGGCCCCCAGGGAGGATGCGAAGGCTAGGACTTTACCTCCAACATGCCGCTTCTACTGGCCTCGGCAGTATCGATGAGAGTGTTGTCTAGATCAAAGAAAACTGCCTGCACCCTACTCAATCCCATGGCGCAGCCGTCCACGCAAGTGCACTTGGAGGCGAGTGCCGGAAATACATGCCGAGGTCAGAGGTCACCTAACTCTTCCGCTGACTAGTCACTGGATAGCCTGTAATACTGTTAGACAGCCGCGAGATCCCGCGAGATCCCGCGAAACTCCCGAAGATTGTCTCTATACCCGTCAGGTGGCTTCCGCTAGCATCTCTGGTAGCATAGTGGTTACGAGTTGGGCTGCTAACCTCATGGACAGCAGTTCGAAACTACCAGCTGTCTCCGTAAGAGCAAAATAAAAGTTCCCGTAAAGATTTACAGCCTCACTAAGGCACTTAACAAATCAAACAACCTCTGCACATGGTTTTCAAACTAGCCATTTGAAGGCCTAGTTTGCTCCCAGGTCTGGAGTCCTGGTGGTGTGCCCCTGTGGATTAATGCGGTTCAAGCTCACCAGCTGCTCCTCGGAAACACTATACAGGATCTCTATGGGTCAAAATCGACTCGCTGGCACTTAACAACAAAATTTTCAGTCTGGAGTCCTGCTGTGGCGCTGTTGGATAAGCACTGAACTGCAAAGTCGGTTTAAACCGCAAGGCAAGGTCGGTGGTTCAATTCCCACCAGCCCCTCCTCAGAAACCGTTTACAGAATCACTCGGACAGACTCGATGACACTTAACAACAATATTAATTCGGAAGAGCATTAGTGGCACCGTGATTATGTGCTTGGATTTAGTCAGTTTCTGGAGGTATGGGAAGGATGTTGCTGCCAGTTAGCTTCCATAAAGATTTACTGACTTGGAAAGGTGTGGGATAGTTCTGCTCTGCTCTATACACTGTCAGTGTGTTCCCGTACGAGGTGTCATGCCCAGTGTAACACAAAACCAATTCAGCCATGCAGAGTGAGGACCCAGAAAAGTGTTTAATCACTTACGCATTTGTGGAAATGAATAGTTTCACCCATGTCTGGGTGATGTCATGAATGATGATCTCAAGTTGTTGGCTGCTGGTGTTTATTCTCACTTCAAAGAACACACTTTAGCATTTTTCAATAAAGTTGGTCTGGTCTTTAAAAATTCCTTTAATTTTTGTTTATCAGAAAATTTCTTAATTTTGCTGTACTATTTAAGGGGCAGCTTTTCTGGGTATATGATTCTTGGTTGGCAATCTTTTTCTTTCAGAGTTTTATATATGTCATATAATTCATGGGGGCCCTTGATGGAGCTGGTTTCAGTGACTGTTAAGACAGGGAGGTTGGGGGTAGGGTTTCTAGTTAAATGCTGATCTGGTGACTTTGCGGATTTTGTAGGTCTGGAGCCAAGCCCACCGGAATCCAAGCACCAAAATGTCACACCAAAGCAGCGCAGTCTGTGACGTGGCCCCCACCCACATGGCTATGAACGCTTGGAGAGCAGGATCTGCACTGGGGGTGGATGAGGGTGGGCACTGGCCACACTTTTGATCACCAAGGGAGCATGGGGGGAAAGTCGAAATTGCACCTTTTACAATGCCCTGGCTAATGCCTGGCCTCTGTTAACCATCAAAGCTGCTCACAAGATTGTGGAGCTGTCTGGCCAGCCTTTTAACAGTCAGTGTCCCTCTCTTTTTTTTCTTTTGAATAGAATAAACACCTTTAATGCATGTCCCGGGATGTGAGGGAGGAGGTTTCATTTGCCTTTCCGGGCCTTGATTTTCCTCAGGTAGAACTCCAACTCCTTGCCCTCTAGAACATAGCCATCTGCTAGGCCACACTGGCCTGGTCTTGTAGCGATACATGCAAGAAGCTTGCCCTGATGGAACTGCTCCTCCAAAAGACTGCTGATTTTTGCATTCTTTTTCCTTTCATCGTTATTTTTTTCTGAAAAAAAAATTTTTTTTTTTTATCGCTTTTTGTTTAATATCTCTTTCTCTTCAGGAGTCAGTTTGGCTCCCTTCTTGCCGCCCAGAGGCCAGTACGGTGTGCTGTCAACGAGCACGATGCAGTTCTTCACTAGTGTCTTAGTGCGGACCAGCTCATTATTGGACGCATTGTAGACAACATCGATGATCCTTGTTCTCCGGGTACAACACTCAGAACCCCAGGAGAAGGTCCCCACATCCAGCCTCAGGTCCCGGTACTTCCTGTTGCCTCCTCTAACACGTACTGTGTGTATGCGGCGGGGGCCAATCTTAGTGTTGGCAGCTTCCGCTTCTTGTGGTAGGGCTTTCTCTTGCCCCCAGTCTTGTGGAGCTTGTGCCAGTTGTCCTGGGAGATAACCACCGCTCGGCGCTGGCTAGAAAGACCAGTGTCCCTCTCTTGCCACCTCTGCCTTTCCTCCTGCCAAGCACTTCATCCACCCCTCTAACCTTTCTTCTGAAGCTCTTGGTGCCAGAATTTTCATCTCTATTTTATTTCCTCTCTTTTACCTTTGTTTTAGAGGGTCCGTGATCTTTCCAGAAGTCTATTGGCCATTTTGAATCTGACAATCATATGGTTTACTATGGTAACGACAAACATCAAAGATTACGTTTTAAGATCTATCTTGAAGTACAATGCTGTCTATGATAAGATACTATCCATACGCTTACAATGAAGAGCAGTTAATACCACTATTAAAATTTATGCACCAACCACTAAAGTCCGTGATGATGAAATTGAAGAATTCTACCACATTCTTAAGTATTAAATTGATCAAACATGCAATCAAGGTGTATTGATAATTACTGGTGATTGGAATGTGAAGGATGAAAACAAAAAGGAAGGATTAGTAGTTGGAAAATAATGGCCTTGGTGATAGAAATGGTGTTAGAGAT